TTTTTATTATTCGTCTCCAAGTAACGAAGTAATACTTTTAAATTTGGCAATCAAAATTGCATATTTATAGATGAAAAAGAATTAAAAAATTAAGAAAATTTAATGAAAGTGCCCATTTTTAATTATCAATGCAAGTAATATTAAACTTGCAGAAACATATTGTTCTAATTTAGAAAAAGAAAATTTTTTAGAGTGAATTGAAACTGCAAGAAGTGAAAAATTTTCGAAAAAACTTTGCAAAGTTTTGTTGGTTAAAAATTTATGTCAAATGTTTACAGAGCATATATAAGTAGATGGCATAATATTGCCAATTCAGATCAAATGCAAAAATAAAATTAATTTATTGAGAATATAAAAATCTGATAAATGTTAAGAAAAACTAAAATTATTTTTAATATAAATAGAAAGGTAATGGCAATGTATATCTTCAACCGTCCATTATTTGTAAAAGTGAAAACATGAAAAACATGAAAAAAATTTTATATTTATCACTTGGTTCAAATATTATTTTTCATCTTTATGATCATTTAAGCTAGTTAAGCAGTAAAAATGAAAAGTAATGTAAGTGATGGTAAGATGTAAGCTAAAATGAGCAAATAAATAAGTGAATGAATGAATGAATGAATAAATGAATGAGTGAATGAATAAATGAATGAGTGAATGAATAAATGAATGAATGAACGAATGAATGAATGAATGAATAAATGAATGAATGAACAAATATGATTCAAAGTGATTGGGTGCGAAGCAAAAGTGTTTTGAAAACGAGCAGAACAAGACATTTCTCGATTCTAGCAATTTTTTCGTTGCTACATTTAGCATTTTTGATAACAATGTAAAATCGTGAAAACCACTGGTTAATCATAAAAATGTACGCTTCAAATAATTATAGCATACTACAGCGTTCTATGCTTACTTCATTTGTAGTAGAAGTTTTTTTTCCGAAATTATCAGACAAATTTTATGAATTTTTGTTCTGTTAAAAAAGTTTATGAAACAATTGCAAAAATGCAGAAAACTTTTACTGTTCGTTTACCAATGCTAAAATTTTTAGTTCGAAAAATTATTACAAAGATGATAAAGAAAGCCTTTACATTTCTTAATAATTATCGTAATTGTGAGAGGAATGATAATTAAGTTACATAAAATTTTATTATTTCTACAGAAATTTTGCTGAAAACAAAGATTTTTCAACTAACTAATATTACGGATAATAAAAGTTGTGTTTAGTTCATAGCTAGCATATTCTTATACTCAACTTTGATATTGAGCTGAACTGCTAAAGTTTTTTTTCAATATCATTAATCGAAAAGTTAAATTTGCTGGTTGAATTTGATGAGGCGAAACCGTAAAGTTTTCATTTTCATAAAAAGTAAAATTTCAGAAGTTTATTGCGAAAAAATGACAAAATATGAGAGCTTTTTGTAGATGTGCATTTCAAACTCTAACAAACAATATCTAGTTGAGCTAATTTGCAAAATCTTTGTACAAACTTGACATCTGTACGCAGAAGATTAATTTTACTTACATTTTTTAATATGGCATATATTATGATAAATATTTGTGTCACAACTGCATTTTTTATTCTTTTTTACACTGTGAAGTTGGGAATAAATAAATTGGTACTGACAGGGAGTGAATTTGTTATTGGATTTGATTAGGCACAAAAAATTAAATTAATGAAAAAACAAAGTCTTTCCAGGATTTTATTATGTAGTCAATTCATAATAACTGTAGTAAATGCAAAAGCATACTTTTTTTGCTACTATTTCAATATAATACAATCAAAGCATTTTATAAGCTGTTCATACATATATTCAGTTGGAAATCAAGAAATTTTCTAAATAATAAAGGAACAAATTTTGTTTCAAAGATTTTTCTACTGCTCTGATATGATAATGTAATAAAACACTTTTCTGCATGGAAAAGAAATTATTTTTTTAGCAGTAATTTTTTTCCACGTGGATAATGTAAGTAGTGACTGGCCAATTTTTTAGCTTACTTCTTTGTTGATAGAACTAGGCAGTGCAAGCAAAATGAGTAACTAATTTTGCAAATTTGCTTTAGTTTGCATCATGGAAATAAATATAGGTTACAATTTTAAACTGCTTTTTTAAATTATGTAGATGCTTAATTTTTGCCAAATATTTTTAATGAATCCAACAAGGAATATTCAGCTGGTAGTTCAAGCAGACGAAAAGTCTGAATTACATGTAATGTGTACATTGTTGTGAATGTAAAAAATTTTTTGAACACACATTAATGAAACTTGCAAGGAAATTTAGAATATATGCAACAAACAATTGAAACGATAAGCCTGCCAAATAACGTACTTTAGATGCTGATAAAAAAATATGCATTGCCTGAGTTCCATTCTAATAAAGTATGCCATTCCCATTTTAATCAAAATGAATCAAAAGAATCACAAAGCTTTGCATCCATCACTTTTACAAAAGTCCGTTTGCTCTACTTGCAGATCATTTAGCAGTTATATTACAAATATTCCAAATACTTATCGTTCAAAATAATTATGCTCAAATTGGAGTCTAATTTTGATACTGTTGTTATCCAATTTTTATGGATAAAGTACAAGTTTTATATCATTTTGATCTCAATATAATCATTCTAGAAGTATTGTGGTGCTAAATGCTTAAAGTTTCATACCGGCTTCACTAACTTTTATTTATTTATTATAGTATACCATTATAAACTTATCCACGACCACTGAGTTATTTGGTAATTTGAATACTTATTAAATAACATAAATGTTCAACTATTTATTCCTACATCCACATCGTTAAATGCATTATTTGAGCCAGTGACATCAGATTATTAAAGTATACAAATTGTAAAATTCGTCCCATCATTCGTTGTGGTAGGGGACGATTTATATTAGCATTTTGGTGCTGGATTGTTGTCTTTTATAGCTGTTATTTGTTGCTTGTGACTAACTTTTCATATTCATGGATTAATTCCCAAGCATCGAAGGTAAGTTGTAAATTTTCTTTGCTAGTTTATCTCTGATCTAAATAGTATGATCATGATTTTTTTTAAATTTTCTGAAAACTGATTGGACTGAGAACCGAGCAGCTAATTTTTACATCAAATTATTTCTGCACAACTTTTGGAATAAATTTTAGCAAAAATCTGAAGTCATACTTTTACGATTAAAAAAAGTGCTCTTGTCAAAAATAAGAGCCTCTTAATGTAAAGTTACTGTGAGGCCGATATTTGAATAAAGATATTGTGCACTTTGCAAATAGTATTAAAGGGTATGCAAATTGAGGAGGTCTTGACTGTGAAAGTGTAATGAAGAAATTTGCATAATCGAGATGAACGATTTTGAATAGAGCATTCCGCCTTATTTAAGCAACATCTTTTCTTGTAAACGTCATTATTAACAGTGCCATCAAGGCAAGCAGTTGTATAGTTTTGCGCCTGCTGAGGGTTGGTTGGGATTCATTGGGCTTGTTTTGCGGATTTGTGGGACTGTGATGGAGTAGGGCTAAGTGTTGTTGGGAGACGTTAGAATTTTTTTTGTATTATTGACGAATAGGTGGGTGTAAGTCATTGGTATGCTATTGTTTTGATTATATTGTCAGAATTTTTCTTTTCTTGTGCTAATCAAGGTTTTAGTTTGGAAGCTTTGTTTCGCTCGTTAAATTGGTCACCGACTTCGCTTGTTCTCAGAATGGTAGAACTTTTTATGTAGTTTGTAATTAATTTTTGTTGTTTCGGACTACTTGAGAAAAATTTAACCACGAATTATATTATTGGTGGTACAACAGTGTAATATGATGAACTTTTCGTTAGCACCAGTGCAGCTGCACGACGTTTTGTGATGAACTTTGTTTATAGTTTCGTGGTGATATATAACAAATAATTTTACCGTATTAAGTAACGTTGTGTGACTTTGGTCTGCTAGTTGACATTACGTGATTTTTCATCGTAATCAATAAGTGGTTTCATTATGAAAAGGGCATTGGACGGTGTAAGTTCATGCGGATATAGTAACTCACAATTGATGACTGTTAAATGGGTTAATATTACTTCAGGTTT